ATACTTTCGAAGTCAGAAGTATGATGAAGATATACAATTATGTATCGGTACAGCTTTTCTTCTTTCCCTTTTCATGATGCAAATTCTTTGTTCTCACAAAAGTGACATTTCCCACTTGAGTTTTAGGACCCTCAGTGAAGTAACTTCATACATTTGAATTTGGAAATACACTTAGCTTACTGTACATTAACACATTTTGATCATGTGCAAAATAAAAGAGCTTTAATAATACTAAATGTTACATTAAGTGAAAAGCATTTTCATCTCTGAACTTGCCATATGTATGCTTTGTATGTTTCCTACTTCATGAAACTTTCATCACTATCGGGTTTACAGTACACACTGTACCAAATTCTGATCCCATGATCCAGCCTCGAAAGTTGGATTAAAAATTGGAAATCCCTGCAGAGTTAGGAGAACAAGGAACTTTTTACATCTGCTTCATCAATTTCACAGCCAAAAGGGTCTCTATAGTATTGCATTTCACTCTGTTTTCAAAGAGGATTTTCTATTAGTGGTTGGCATTTTTTAAAATATTTGGCATGCTATGCCATTTTACACTCCTAAGCTATGGAAAAGCACAACTGTTTAGTCCAGCCATTTTCCTTATACATAGTATTTCACTGCTTACACAGCGAATCACACTGTCATCACAAAACTGCCTATACATAACATGAGTCAGATAAACTTTATCAGAAAGTTTGGTTGAAGTCATGGTCAACCTTCTTACTGTGTAGACGTAGCTCATCTTTAATTCCTCCACTTTCCTCCACGAGTGACTCTCCATATACAGATAGTGAAAATTCTTGTGGAAACCCTACTTTCTGTCAGGTCAAGTTTGCCAAATTCAGGTCTCAGAGAGAAGAAAAGTTCACATTTTGTCAGTTAAGTGCTAGCTACTACATACGGTTGAGCTTGTTCCCTGATGCTATTATCTGTACAGCGCTGCTACTCTTGAGCTTGAAGCACACATTAAAACTAGACAAATCTGCTACACAATCATTAGATCGATTTTGTAATAGTGTCCCAGGTATTTAAACAAACCAAGGGTTAGTTTCTGACCCATCTGCTGTAATATCATGTATTTATGTCGGCCTCAAGCTCTTCAGGTTTGGACAACTACTTTTCATTAGATGTCAATAATATACAGAAAGTGCAAAGGAAGGCAAATGCTTTATATAAATATAGAACAAAAATTAGAACTGGGACTTTATATAGGAACACAGCACTTGAAATTTTTTTCAGGACTTAGGTAATTTTAATTTTTAATTAGTAAAACTACTGCAGAGGAGATGCTTTCAACAAAAAGGCAAGAATGCGGGCCACCAAGAAACCATGTGTTAGCAACAGTGTAACTCCAGAATCCCAAAACTCTGCACACTGGGCTCCTGTTCTGGACAGAAATTTTACCATGGTGTTACACAAGCATTTGGATCGTGGTTGCCCTGCATGGTTTTACATGAAAGTATCTATAAGACATCATTAATGACGGTTTGACAATTTAGTGCTAAAAAAGAGTTCACTTCTTAATCTGCATTCTCCTAAAGCACCGTTAGAAATGTTATACCAAATTTTTGTTGTCATGAACTAGATATATTGATAGCACTTTAAAAATGCCTGATCATCCACAGCAAATTACTTTGCAAATATAGTAATTTTACTTATTTGAAAGCATTTTAAATATTTTTTCTGAATTTTTTTTGATTGGTAACTCCAAACCGCCCATCACTCTCAGCTCACTGACAGGAACGGCACTACCCCATCAGCATACTGAATACAATTTTGTCTTTTCAAATTTCTTAACCTAATATAAATAACAGTAACTTTTGTTATTTTTATTATACCCAAAGGAGATCTTTAAAGCATTTTTAAAAAGCCTTGTAATTTGTTTGTACAATAAGTGAATCAACGGACTAGTAAATCAGTTCTTTGTAAGGGACGAACAGAAAATGTACAACCTTTAAATGCAAATAAATGTTTCTACAAAAAAAAAAAATCAGTATTTTTGTCCCTTAGCTACATTTTCTTCTCCCCACTTCCAGCACTAACTTTTTTTGTATCTGCTATACTAGACTTCCCCCAAAAAAGGACTTGCATTTTTGGTTAACGTACTTCCGGATTCTGCTTATAGTAAAATATGCTTATTGTATTAACACCATCCTTTTCTTTACATGTATAGGCACATATGGGGAGCCAAGAACCCAAAAGACAGAAAATATCTACCAAATCATATGTATTTAAGAATTCATTGCCAACAAACATCCTAAAATACTTTAATTCTAAATCTACACTTTCATCTTAGTGATCCTCATACAGTTCTGACCTCCTGTTAAGATGTATGTGTATCTGCTAGTTATATTCAAATATATGATTAAATCATGCTTAGTATAGAAACATCTCTAGGTTCACCTATACAGTTTTAAATGATTGTTCAGTCTGAGTATTTTAAATAAGCTCTGGTTTTATTTCAAAAAGATTAGAGATGAAAAATTGAGTTTTCTGGATAATGTAATGGTCCATTTTATCCCAAAGGAAGCATTTAACTAATACAGTATTTTCCACACAATAGGGGAGAGTATAATAAATGGTGTATGAATAGGACAATTTCTGTGAAAAAAATTACATAGGCTATTAGATTTGAAACAGCCATCATATCTGAGATTGCAGAAATAATTAAAACAGAAAATAGACATTTTCCAACAAATTTAATACCACTGTTATGTACCTTGTTACCTACACACTTGAAAACCTCATAACATACAAAAAAGATCTTGAAATATAGAAAATCTGAGAAGTAGCAAAAGCCATCTATTTCCAATCATATTTTAATTTCTCATAGTGATCACTACTTTATGAAAAGTATATGAAAAGTAGAGTTTTGATCGTGAATTTGCACTCACAAAGTTTAACATCTGATCTGCATGAATTATTGTTAAAAAAATCCCCACATCTATACTAGTACTAAAAATTTAAAAATTTAAAAAGGTAAGTAATGCATTCCCACTCAAAGAAATGATGGGCAGGGGGACATTTTACATATGAAAAATGTCTCAAATTTATACAACTGCCACTGTGAATTTTTAAACACTATTTTCTATTGCATTTACAATAAAAATACCCTCTTTCGTCTTACAGAAGAGTAATTTGTCACCTTTATTTCTGATAAGAAATAAACAGAAAAGTATTTTAAGTCTAAATGAAATCAAGTATCTATCTATAAATGGGATTATTTCAATGTTAGTAATTATATCCTATGCTTCCATTAAAATAGGAAGTCCATCTATTTAAGGAACTCTCTGTAGACTTGCACTTTCTACACAAAAACAGGTAACTGTATTTGTTCATCTTGCTCATGCCCACACTGTCCATGCCTTTCATTCTTCCCCGTAAGACTCAATAACCTGTATTTTCTCTTATTATAGCCAGGTAGTCTGAGGTAGTTGTCCATTCTTTGAATATTCTTACTAAAAAACCCAAACACACTTCCTCACCATACTCTCAGTCTTTGGAATAATTTCAAAATGGAAAGTATGAAGTTGCTATGTAAAACATAAGCATTGTGTTGTGTAATTGTGTTGAACTCTTATTTCTCTGTATGTCTATATTCTTAACCCGCTAAGATTCTGCAAATACAGCCTTTGATTAAATAATCAGTGAAAACAACCTTAAGATATTCCTACTACCAATATATATGCCTTCTTAACATTTACCATTAAAATATTCATGCTGAACAGTAATAAGGTATGTTTTTGAGCAGGTTCACCTACTGCACAAACACAACTGGATGCTAGTTTAGGAAAGAGATGAAATTCAAAAGTGATGGAATCAAATTCAAATAAAAAATTACAATATTACTGTACAGGTGAAAAGTGAATAATAAAACTTATTTTAAAATATGGCACTTGTGAATTACACTACACTCACTCTTAAAACTTCAGTTCCCTGTCTTTTTTAAAAGTATATGGCTGATTTACCAAAATAACCAAAGCAAAAAATGTGAAGCCAAACCAAGAGACCAGTTAACACTGTCAGTGAAACTTAAATGTATTCCTCTAAGTAACTTGAGAGACAAGGGTTTTCCTTGCAACCTAACATGTATGTTCCTAATGGCTTTCTCATGAATTCCATTAAATGTATTAGAGAAAATGAGGCACTAGCTCAAAAGTTCATCTAGCCCACCTAGTCTAGTGTTATCATTTTGCAAGTACCTAGTATGTTTAAAGGAAGAACAAGAGCATACGCTTAAAGTAGAAAGCAACAGCACACTGAAACAAAAAAATCTAACTACATTATTTTGCTAAGCTTGTAATTTTCCACTATTTCCCTTTTCATCTGAAGAGAAATAAACTCTATAAAGTTGAATAAACTATGTATTACAAGAAAATACATGATGCAATTTTTTATTTTAAGGAACCCTATACATTGTAACAATCATTTTTTTAAGTATATGGAGCAGAAATTTGAATATCCTAGTTCTGACAGGATCAGATAAAACAAAGTCAAATCCATTTATTATTATTATGACTTGAAATAGTTCAGTGAAACTTGAAATACTTCCATAAACCTCAGGAAGCCAAATTCTGCATCTTGCAAGCAAGAAAAATTCCACGACTTCGAAAACAAAATGAAGCCAAAATAAATTCTTATCTGCCTATCATTAGTTCATACCCACAAAATCTTCCTTTGAATAGCATTTACACTTCTTAAAACAAATTGTGTATTACACAAGATTTTTATGAAACTCTACCTACTCGAAAAGACTGATAAACAGTAAATAATAAATAGCAAATAATGAAAGTAAAACAAATAATACTAGCAAAATCAATTAAGAAAGAATTTAGTTAGAATTCACTATAATATTTAAACAGAGTTGCCAAAACAAAAACACATTACTACAGTGATAACAGTTTTAAACATCAGCAATAAATAAAAGGTATGTCCTTAGCAGTGCCTAAAAAGATATATTTCAGATAATTAGGAACAATGGCATCATATAGTACCTTCCATTGCCCTTTTAAAGAAGACTTTACAACTTCCACAGGTAAGTACTCCATAGTGGCAACCAGAAGCCTCATCACCGCAGATGAGACAAATCTTCTGGGGTAGCGATTCAAAACCGTATTGAGAACTTTGGCTGGTTTCTGTATCTGGCCTTCAAAAGAAAAAAGAATTAAGAGAAACGAAATATCCAGTTCTGCAACAATTAACTACTTACCTGTATTAATCAGGTTTATGCTAAAAACTTTCTTTTAAAATCTGTAATCAAGCTACAGAAAGGTAAGAAAAAAATAAAGTATGACTGCCTTTCTGCTTAAGAGTTTGTCTCTACTAGGGTAAAAGGCACATTTGTAACATCTACCTAGCCATTAAACAGAAAAGTAGTGGGCAAAAAGCATAGTAGTACTTTAATCCGTTTTAGCTAAAAGAAGTACAATCTAGGAACTCTTTGTTAAAATGTTCATCTTCCTCAGATCAACAACTCTTGTGAGTAAAGTCATACAGACTGATACTCTTTTTTCCTGTACATAGAATGGTACAGAAACAGAATCAAATAGAGGTCAATTGAATTTCAAAAGCCCCTTTCACATGGGAAATAACTAAGTTTCATCTCAGCTACAAAAATTTCTAATATTTGTCGCCTCCTGTTCAGCTGCAGCATTCTCATCAATAACTAACTATGATGAGCACATTGAGGAAAGTACTTCTGAACTTCTCTCCAAGAAAACAGGCTAACCTCCTTAATCATTATGTTTTCGAAAATCAAGGATTTCTGTTGAAACTGTAGCATTGTATATACCTATTTTTGCATACATTTCTAGTAATGCACAACATTTTGGCATCGTAGTAAGCCATTTCATTCTAACAAATAAACAATATGCAAGTGTTTCAGTTTTCTTTTTTTGTGTGAAATTAACTGGGTTTTTTTCCAAGTCAGGGAAAATATTTTGGAGAATATTTAGGTATTTATGAATATTGTCTCACTCTCATTGAGGACAGCCTGGAGAACACTCTGCTCCCCCTCTCTGGAGCCGGTCACTTGCTCAGACATCAGATGGCACTGAACCACCACAGCGATCAAAATGTAACTTCTCCCTGAGCGTTACCGTGCTGAAAAGACCTGAGAGGTGCCAGCTGCGAAGTTAACATCCTGCTAGTCTCACACAGACCAGGGACGCCCAGGCGCCCACAAGCAATACAGAAAACGGAAAGGCGGCTGCAGTTACTGCCTAAAAACTCAAACGGGTCTTCGACGAGGAAAACCGCCCGTCTTTGTCTCGGCACCTTCCAAGAGCCCCTCGGAGCGCAAACCCCTCGCCCCGCGGCAGAGCCCCCTTTCCTGAGGAGAAAGCGCGAAGCTCCCCCGCGGAGCACCGCGACCCCTCGGCCCGTCCCCCCAGCGAGGGCACCCGCCCGAAAGGGCCCGCCGCCTCCCGCCGCCCCCCCTTACCGAACGTAGCCGAGGTAGGGCGGGCACAGCTGGGGCAAGCCCTCCTTCAGCACCGCCGCCGGGAAGCCCAGGGGCTGGTGCCCGTTGA